GCTGAGTTGAGAAAATGAAAGCTCAACTATACAAGGGAAATGGAGAGAATTAATGAGGATGATGAGGCATATTATAAGGTGTGAAAAAGCCAGAAGAAAGCAATGGTACAGTTGTGCGAGTATTAAAATGGAAATTATTATTGTTTGGCAGATTATAAGTAATTAATTTGGTGAATGAGGACATAACATAATGATAAGATAATAGGTTGCCCGTGTCATGTTAAGGGCACGTTTGACGGGAATTTTACTTTTTACTTATTACAGAAGAGCTTCTCATGAAAGCTACCATAAACTAACATTCTCTGAGAAGTTGTTCTAGTCACACAAAAACAGTTCCAGAAAATTATCCAAACAAGAAGCTCTTAATTTCAGAAACAACTTTTGACTTTTCAAAAAGTTGGAGTAAATGTACCATAAATACCGCACAACCTTTCACCGTAAAAACTAAAAAGTTTCTGAATTTTCAATATTTGGTTATAACCCGACTAGTTTCTCAAATTTCCGTTCGACTTGATGGTCTATTTGAATTTTTAAAATAATAATACAAGGACTCAACATTACAATGAATTAAATCTTAATTATTCGAATTAAAATATTGTATAATAACGTCGAACATAATTCTGTACTTGAAAGGACATTTAATGATGTAGTAAATTCAATTGTAACTTTTTTTTTCCTTACTTTACATTCAGCCTGTTTGTTTAGCATTAATTCTTCAGATTTAGAAAAATTTCAACCATTGCAATTCAAATTCAGCCATCATTTTTGACTATTTATCTCACAGTTGGGACCCACATTTGAAACTAACGGTGATTTTTTTCCTTGAGTATAGGAATTTTTGACAGAAATTTGAAATGCTTCAATCCCGTCCGTGTGTGTATTTTCCCTCCTCCAATCTTTCAATCATTTCCCTTCATCTCAAATTTCTGTGTGTTTTCTGTGAAAAATTCATGTACCCATAGCAGGGTTCTTTTTTCTACTTTCCAGCTGTTTAATGCTAAACAAACAAGGTGTCAATCTATCTTACTAAATTTGTGAAATGAAACACGAAATAAAGAAGTAAATTTTATAAATTACTCAGACACAGCAACAATCTGAGTTGGTACCGGCGAACTTCGATTTTTCAGACAGAATTTAAAGTAAAAAAATATAAGTAAAGTAAATAAATTTCTAAATTTAATAAATAAAATAAGTGAGATAGTCAATATTTGACACGTGTTTTAAAATTGCTATCAA